GCCCGCTAGGAGGTGCCTGGTATGACCACCCCCTCCCATCCTGGGCAGCGAGGGCTCAGCCTTCTGCTGACTGGGTGAGGAGGGCGCCCACTGGGGCGGGGGGGCGGGCAGCTGGAGAGAGAGGCCCTTTGGGCCAAAGGACAGAGCTGCTCCCACAGAGTGCCTTATGTCTCGGAGTCTGAGTCTGTGTTCTTTCCCCTGAGCCCCTCTTTGAGGTACCCCATCCTGCCCTCCTCACCCTGAGCAGCCAAGCCCTGAACTCCCCCCCACCAGCCCTGGCCTGAGGCTGGAGTACCCCTGCTTGAAGTGGCTGCCTTCCATTGGCTGGGCTTGGACTGGGGAGGAGGTCTGTCTGCCCCTGTCCAGGGTCTCAGAAGAGAGTCTAGCTTCCTTTACCCTCTGTCACCCCCCTGGACAAGGAGATCTGATCTCCCCCAGGAGGCAGTGTCTCCTACATAGTAAGGGACACTCACATCCTGCCCCCTAGGCCCCACCACACTGGGATTCACAAAAATCCGGATTCTAGAGTTGAGGGGTTCCACGCCAGCTCCTCCTGTCCACCCACCCCACAAGCAGCATTAGAATTGCACCTGTTTCTCAAGGTGCCAGTCCCCCATCCCCAGGTCTGGTGCACAGCGCTTCACAGCCATTATCTTGGCCATCCCACACCTGGTGAAGTAGGTATTATCATCCCCGTTTTATAGGTGAAGAAACTAAGGCTCAGAGAAGTGACTTGCCCACGGTCACACAGCTAGTAAGTAGCAGACACTGGGCTCTTCCCCCTCACCATGCTGCTTCTGTTTGCACACCTCCAGTCCCAGGGAGCTCAGCCCCTAACGAGGCAGCCAGCTCCACTTGCAGGCAGCTTTGACGACGAGAAACATTTTCTCTTCCTTGAACTGAAGGAAGCTCTATGCCTCTTGTAAGCTCTATTCTAACTCCATCCTCAGGGGCTGCCAGGAGCAGCAGGCTGATTCCTCTCTCAGACTCCAGCCCCCGAGAGATTTGGGGCAGAGATCACTGCCCTCTGAGGCTGTGGTGCCTTGGGCTCACATCCTCCAGTCCATAAATCAAACGGCACAGCCCCCTGCCCACTGGGCTCCCCGTCCCGGGGCCTCATTTCTTCCAGGGCAGACACTCATGATGTCTCCCCCTCTGCTGCCTCCCCCAACCACCCCACCCCAGGCTGCTGAACGAGAGTGACAAGCGCCCCTTCATTGAGGAGGCCGAGCGGCTCCGGATGCAGCACAAGAAGGATCACCCAGATTACAAGTACCAGCCGCGGAGGCGGAAGAACGGGAAGGCGGCCCAGGGAGAGTCAGAGTGCCCAGGCGGGGAGGCCGAGCAGGGCAGTGCTGCTGCCATCCAGGCCCACTACAAGAGCGCCCACCTGGACCACCGGCACCCGGGCGAGGGCTCCCCGATGTCCGATGGAAACCCTGAGCACCCCTCGGGTGAGCACGGAGCTGGGAGCTTGGGTTGGGGGAGGCTGGGCGGTGGGGAGAGGCAAAGGCTGGATGGCTTGAGACCCGAGGCTCTGGGAAGGGCTGGCCGGGCTGGGTGGTTGCTCAGCTGGGGTGCAGGGGCCCACAGGGAGCTCAGTGGGGACTCAGGTGTCAGGGGAGGCGGCTGGGCAAGAGGGCTCTGACCAGGACTGATAGAAGGGGCACTGCTTTGGGGTGAAGAGACCAGTTAAGGAGGCCATGGAGGCCAGTGGGGGAGTTACACCAAAGAAAAGTGGGACAGAACCATTCTGAGAAATGGGAGAGCAGATGAAGGGGAGATCACTGCCTCTTTCCCACCTCCCAGTCTGATGGGGGAGACACGGCATGTGACATTGAGCACGTGCCATGGATGAGCCAGACACAGGGTATCTATCCTGTTTCCTTCTCATTAATGATAATAACAGCTAACATTAATTGAGTACCTACTGTGTGCCAGGCACACATTCAATCACTCTAAACTGTGATGAGGCAGTCACACTGCCTGGGGTCAGACCTCAGCTCTGGCAAATTACTCTCATTTTACAGAGAGAAAACTCTACAGAAAACTGAGAGTAACTTGCCATACAGCTGAGGTCTAAGCCCAGGTGGTTTGGCTCCGGGGCCTCTGCTGGCACCACAGCTGCCTCACTTGTGTTCATAGCATACAGAACACCGTGCTTGGGGTCAGACACGTTGGCAAGTCTCAGTGAGCAGAGCTCTGCCTTCAGAAGACACGCTCCTAGTACTCCTTTGTGCCAGACCTGGAAGCAGACACCAGGCATACAAACGAGAAGCCATGGTCCCTGGCCTCAGGAGCCCACTCTAGAGGGATGAAAACAACTGAATTAAGTACAGGATGAAACAAGTGCACACAAAGCCCATGAGGGGGCATGACCTCTAGGGAGGAGGCATCGACCTGTCCACCCAGTCGGTCTCCAAAAATACCCAGCTACCCACCAGACTCTGGTCAAGGAAAGCTTCCAGAAGGAGGCCATGTCTGAGCTGCTTGGTATCACCTTTGTTTTACTAATAAGGAAACTGATGAGAAGATAGGGGGTCTGCCCAGGATCACACAGTAAGTGACAGAGATTCAAACTCAAAGTCTAGACACTCTGGCCAGCACAGGACTCAGCATTGCCTCTGGTCTGACGGAGGCACAGGCCTGCCCTCAAGCAGCGTCTGGTTTGCGAGACCATGAACATGTTCTCTCTCTGATGGGATCCTCAATCCAGCCATTCCGCCCTCACACTCTGTCGGAGATTCAGGGACACAGACACACCAGAAGACCTTGGACCTTGTACAGAACAACCAGTTCACTATGTTACTGTGGGCCTGGGCTTTCTCTTCCCCTTCAACAGCTCAGCTACTCCTCCTCAGTGAGACCTTCCCCACGTCCCCAGGGCAGGGTGAGCAGCTTCCTGCGCTGGTCCCCTGAGCCCTTCACACATCCCCTCATCACAGCACTTTGGATGCCGCCCTCTAGCCTTGTGTGGGTCCCTGGATCTCCCCCAAGACTAGGAGCTTGTGCAGACAAGGACTCATTTGATTTACATTTGTATCCCCTACACCTGGCACAGTGCCTGGCACTTAGCAGTGTCCCCTAAGTGTTTGCTGAATGAATGTGTGAATGAGCAAATGGACAGACAAAGGAACGGGGTAGAGCAGGTCACTTATCTCATTGCTCTCCTGAACAGGCAGGGAGAAAGCTGGAGGAACAGTGGGACAGCGCGGTGTGTGATGGGAGTTGAGAGCATGTTCGGGGGCACTGGGTCACAGGGAAGCTTTCCTTGAATAAGGGGCACTTGAGGTGGCCTTGGGAGGAAGGAGGGGGTTGGAGGTGACACATCACTGTTCAGGGCCCAGGGCTGGAGGAGGCCCAGGCAAGCCAGCAAAAGCGATGAGGGCGGGAGAGGTCAGCAGAGGGGGCGGCCAGCAGAGGCTGTGTGCTTAAGAGAGAACAGGCGAGCCCAGACCCACAGGCCAGACCCCATCGGGCTCAACAGTTAAGGAACAATGGGAGCAGGGAGGGAAGCCGACTTCAGCTGGTGTGAGGAAGAGCTTTCCAATGGGAAGGGCTTCGCAAAATGAAGCAGGCCTCTCCAGGAGGTGGGTGACCTGGGAGTCCTATTTTGGTAGGAGACAGGACTCATTCCTAAGATTGGGGAACTTCATAAATAACTGGAGATCAACCCAAGATCAGTACATAATTACATGCCACCTCGGGCTGCCCAAACATGTAAAACTTGCAGGGTCATGCAGTGATCAGTCCTCAGCCTCTGGAGGCATCTTGTCTGAAAGTGAACCATCAGAATCCAGCAGCCTCTGACCTCGGTTCCTGCTTCCTCTCTCTCTGTCTCCCTCCCCAGCAGGCCAGAGCCATGGCCCGCCCACCCCTCCGACCACCCCAAAGACAGAGCTGCAGTCGGGCAAGGCAGACCCCAAGCGGGATGGGCGCTCCATGGGGGAGGGCGGGAAGCCTCACATCGACTTCGGCAACGTGGACATCGGTGAGATCAGCCACGAGGTAATGTCCAACATGGAGACCTTTGATGTGGCTGAGTTGGACCAGTACCTGCCGCCCAACGGGCACCCAGGCCATGTGGGCAGCTACTCGGCAGCTGGATACGGGCTGGGCAGCGCCCTGGCTGTGGCCAGTGGACACTCTGCCTGGATCTCCAAGCCTCCAAGTGTGGCTCTGCCCACGGTCTCGCCACCTGGTGTGGATGCCAAAGCCCAGGTGAAGACGGAGACCGCGGGGCCCCAGGGGCCCCCGCACTACACTGACCAGCCGTCCACCTCGCAGATCGCCTACACCTCCCTCAGTCTGCCCCACTATGGCTCCGCCTTCCCCTCTATCTCCCGCCCCCAGTTTGACTACTCTGACCATCAGCCCTCAGGACCCTATTATGGCCATTCAGGCCAGACCTCTGGCCTCTACTCGGCCTTCTCCTACATGGGGCCCTCACAGCGGCCCCTCTACACGGCCATCTCTGACCCCAGCCCCTCAGGGCCCCAGTCCCACAGCCCCACACACTGGGAGCAGCCAGTATATACGACACTGTCCCGGCCTTAAAGAAGGCCCTGTCACCACCACCCTCGCCCTGCCCCTTCCCCCAGCCCTCGCGCCCTGTTCCTCGCCCATCTCAGGCCCGGTGGCGGCTGTGGAGGCAGCTGCAGAGGCTGACAGCTGAGGGAAGGCCTTCTGTCTGGCCCACTGCCTTTGATGACCCCACCCCGTCCTATCCAGACTCCAGCCCAGGCACAGCCCTGGGCTACTCGGCTGGGCAGAGGAGAAGGAGGTTGCTTGTTGCCCCAACTGAAAAACGAGGGGCTGCACCTTCCCCCCAGGAATGACCCTCGATCCCAGGATCTGAGCAGGCCCCGCTCACCCTCCTCCGGGAGGAGGGGAAGCATCCAGGGTCGGATGGGAATTGGAGGCCTTGCCACTCCTGTGCCCATGTTTCCTCTTTCGTGGGCAATAAGGGGACTGACATAACCCGTGCCACCTGCACCATGTGCCTAAGAGTAAGGCCAGCCAGAGACCTGCGTCAGTGCCTGCAGCAGGCTCCGTCTACCCCTCAGGGGCTGAGGACAGTTCTGAATAGCCTCGAGGGAGAGGGGGTGGGGGGGAGCTCAGAGGGAGGTCTCCTCAACCCTTCCGTGCCCCCTCCCCTCCTGAACACAGGAAGGCATTGGCACAGAGGCCCCCAGATCCAATTTCATGCCAGTAACCTCATTCTTTGTCTAATGGAGAAAGAGGACCCAGGTCCTACTCCACTGCAAGCTCCCAGACCTTGAGGCACATCCCAGGAGGTGAGGAGGCAGGGACCCCAGGATTCGGAGACAATTCACAGAGCCTTCCTCCCGGCTCCCCGCCAACTCCCTCTCCCCTCACCAGGCTCTGTGGCCCCTGCTCTGTCAGCCCCAACTCCTTGGGCTTCCCAGAGTTTTAGGCTGCTCAGGCCCAAACCCTCGGCTCCAGGGGGAGACCCAGGGCCCAGCACCCGGGTTGCTGGCAGCAGGCTGAAGACACTAAACTCCTGACATGTACATTCTGCCCTGGCCTTTTGCCCTTTGCCTCCCAGTGGTATCTGAATAAAGTATGTAGCTCTGTTCTGCCCCTATTTTCCTGTTCTGCAGCCCCCCAATCCACATGTAACTCATTACTGCCCCCCTCTTATTTATCTGAGTAGCTCCCTCTCCCCCTTCCCCTCTGCTAGGTACTCTAGCCCCTATTAACTCTGCATTAAGCATTCTACATAATAAAATTAAAGGTTCCGGTTACCTGCTTGGTGGGCCTGACCTGGCCTGTCTCTTGGTCTCTTATCCCTGTACCTGTGCTTTTTCAAACACTTTCTCAAAGTGGCTAGGGGTAGAATGCAAAGAACAGACAATCCAAAGGTCTCCTCTCTCCCAGTGCAGCAGGTTAGGACAACTGGCATCGCAGCGGGGTCAGTGTGTGCTCAGAACCGAGGCCTCAGGTGGGAGCTCTGCCCCCAGCCCAGCTGTGCCCACCACACTGCAGGTGGGCTACTTGCTGACCCAGTTGGAACTCAGCGAGAGCGCCTTCCAAGCAGCCCTTTCTCGCCCAGCAGAGCGGGGGCCTTGCAAAGAATTCAAGGAACAAGTATTTGAAAGGTATATCAGGCCTCATGTCTTGCTGTCTGCAGTCAGCAGGCCTGGTCCTTTAGGATGGGTGGATGGGCCTTCTCTCACTGTACCCTCCACTTGCCACCTCCCCCAATAACACACACACGCACGCGTGCGCGCGCGCGCACACACGTACACACACAAACTTGTCCAACACCAGGATCTAGCCGAGTCCTCGTAGCAGCTGCCTGTGTCTAAGTGTAAACCAGGATGGCAGACATGCCATCTAATCCTTCAGGGTTTCCTCCCCAAACGCTCTTTCCTCAACGGAATTCCAACCTGCACTCTGGCGCCAGGAGCTCCTCCACCACAGGGACAGGGAAACCTCTTCCCCTCTTCCCCGTGCTCCACTGATAGACACCTCCAATGGCTGGAAGTCCTTCCTTACACTCAGCTCATAGTAACAGTAATAGATACCCTGTACTGGGTGCTCCCTGGCCAAGTGCTTCGTGTCCTTCAGGCCTATGAGGGAGTGGGTCCAATCGTTATCCCCATTTCCCAGATGGGGACCTGACACTTTGAGAGGTGGGTGCTAAGAAGCGCTGGTGCAGATTTTGAAGGCAGCTGACTGCAAAGCTTGCGGCCTTAACCATCTCTTCCACCTGCCCTACTTCGCTTGTAATCTGAAGCGACGATGCTTTCACGGCTCCAGGCCAGCATCCCCAGATCTTGTATCTATTTCTTCTGTCTGTGGGCTCCAGCCCCTCACCTCCTAGTCAGGACCTTGGGCGGGGTAGGAGGCACCAAGAACTAGCCCAGTCCTCCCAAGTGGCCAGACTGACATCTGGAAGCTATGTCATGCAAGCTCTTCAGGCCCCTTCACCAAAACCACTGGCTCCCATGAAGCGGAGTGGTAACTACAAACCCCTGCTCTTGTAGATAAAACCTGTGGCCAAGTCAGACCACCTGTATACAAGTGGTTTTCTAGTGTTTTGTTGACGTGTTGTAGATAAATGCAGGATTTTATATTGATCTTTAACAGATTTCATCTTAACAGATTGCATCTGACCATTTCCCCACCTATATTAAATCCTTCAGAATTCTGAATCCAACTTACAGTTTTCCTGAGCTTTATGTCTGAAACTTGAATATCCTCATTCAGGTCACTAATGAAAAGAGGTTGGAATGAGGAGGGACACGCCCTGTGCACACCACTAAGAACCTCTCCATCCATTCTGTGAACTATACTCTTAGGGACAAGACTGTCCAATCAATTCTGAATCTAATTTTAGCACCTTGAAGTACACGCTTCTCCATCATAGCCGCACAGAAAGACTGCCTGATGCCTTGTTAAAATCAAGGTTCACTGTATCTGTGGCATTCTTCCAACCTACCAGACCAGTAACCATTGAAAAAAGAAAATTTGGTTCACTTGGTGATATTCTTAGAAACCCTATGCTAGCTCCAGGATCCTTTTATTATCCAAGTGTTTTCAAATATGCAATAGCCTAATTCTAGAATTTTGTTAGGGATCAATCAGTACCAACCTTATGTGCTCTTAATTCTTACAACCCACCCTTTCCCTCTACTGACAAGCAGGACATTAGTCCATTTCTAGTCTGTTCAGTATTTCCAGTCTTCTCCTGTGCTCAGTGGGATTGTGGACATGGAGCTGGCAGGGCAGGTGGGAGGGGCTACATCAAGAAGATGAAATCACCACCTCCAGGACCTCGTGAGGCTCACTGGAAAGTCACTGGGGATACGGGAGAAGGGAAAATGGCCCCAAAGAACAAATAACCCGACAGAAGTCGGGAGACCTAGCTTGTGCTCATGCCTTAGACCTGAGATTCTGGATGAGCTCAGGCCTCAGTAAAGTAGTGGCTCCACGTGTAAACAGAGAAGGGACAGGTGTATCTGGAGAGGGTTGAGGAGACTACGCCCTGGCCTGGCCAGCTGAGCAGGAAGGGGCTGACTCCGTGAAAGAGAAGCAGAATGGGAAGGGGGAAATGGGAGGAAAAACACCCCTTTCTCCAACCCCTCTACACCCTATCCCCTAAGGGTTAACCCCCTCCCTCTCCCAGCCGCTTCTCTCCTCCTCCACCCAAGCCCCATCTCCCTTTAATCACATCTGATACTGAGCGGCCCAGCAGGAACAAAGAGACCATTTAGAGAAACGGGGCCAAGAAAGTGACCCCCGCACTCTGGGGCGGCCGCCTGGATGCCAGCACAAAGGCGGCATTTCAGAGCTGAAATTTCAGCACCCAACTTGATTAAAGGATTCCACAGGCTTGGAGGACGGTGGAAGGGGGTGCGAAGTCCACTCCTCCCCCAAATTAACCCTTCTCCAGAGCAGCAAACACCCCTCCCGCTCCTGGGGATGCTCATCACTCCCACCCTGTCCAGGGGGCACCCACACCCAGGGTCCCTGCCTCTTGCAGAGGTCAGGCAAGCCCAGCTCCTCCTCTTCATGGAAGAGAGCTGGCAGCAGAAGGGAGGTCAAGGCTGGAATATTCAGGAAGCCCATTTTCCCTTCTATCCCCGCTGGTGTCAGTATACACCCTCTCCCTGTCATCCGTTCCCCCCACCCGCCAACCCCGAGAAAGGGAGGAACCAGCATGATCGATTGGGTAAGCAGAGTGAAGAGAACAGGACCCATTAGAACCTAGGGCAGAGAAAGGGGAGCTCCAGTCCTGATTTAATGTCACGCCTTGAACCCAGAAGCCCTGCTCCCCTGCCCACCATCAGCCCTGCACCCATCCTAGTGAAGGCCTCGGAGGAGCAGGGGCCCCACACAGAAGGGGAAGGACATCTTCCAGAAGCTGGGAAGGAGAGGGTATGGGTGTGGCAGACCAGAGAGGTGGGTCATGAAGGATGGTGTGTGGGGAGTGGCCTGAAGAGCGGGGATCGAGGGGGGTGGCAGGGGAGGGGAGGCAGGGGTGGGCAGGTGCTCGGCCCTTGGTCCAGCTGCTGACTTGCCCGGCAGGGCTCTCTCGGGGAGGGCAGGAGATCACTGCATCCCCAAGCTTCCTGCTGGGGCACTGGCTCCTGAAAGGGGATCCGAGCCCACGATAAGAGGCTCGAGGCAGGTCCTTAGGAAACAATGGGTGGCTTGATGAGACCTGCTCTGTGATACTCCTGAGAAGGGAGAAGCCCCTGCAGCCAGTCCCCACTGGAAAGGAAATTGGGGGTTTCCGTGGCAACCAGCTCCCTGGGCACAAAGGCTTGTCTGTCTGCTGGGAAGGCAGCTGAGGTGTCTCCTGCAGCAGCCTCTGCTCTGGTGGACTATGAGATGGAGGGAGGGACGTGGGGGAACCACAGGGGGTCAGGGCCCCTGGTGCTTCCTAAAGAGCTGACAGTTGCAGGGCCACTGGGATGGGTGCACCCTCCAGGCAGCAGGGCAGAAGAAGTGAGTAGGCCTCCCAGGCAGCTGGAGGCGGAGGGGTTGAAACGTTGAAGAATTTATTATTTACACGTATAAAAAATATGAGACTAGAAACTGGGGCTGAGGCACAGTCAGGAAGATGATTCCGGCTCAGTCGGTGATGATAAGCTCGTCTACCCCCCAGTCTTCATAGCTCCCGTCAGGCAGGTAGCGGCGAATGATGATGGGAATCTTTCGGGCCCTGTGGCAGGGGAGAAGTCAAGGTACATTAGGGCTGGTGACCCCAGCCCTGCAGCAGAGGGACAGAATGTGCAGAATGCAAGGCAAGAGAAGTCTTAGCAGCATCCTCTTGAGACTATGAATGCACTTTGTAGGAAAAGGAGTTACAACAAAAAAAGTTCCTGCATCTCTGAGTGTGGCACTTGAGTCTGGAAGGGCTCTGCCATCCCATGGCTGAAGGGAGGAGGGGGAAACGTAGAGGGATGTTGGTAAGGCCAACTGCAGTAGGAACAGGGAAATTCGGATAGACAGCAAAGGTCTCATCAATGTCCTCCCCTGCCCCTTTGCCTGCCCCCTCCTCCCCCTCCCTCCTCCTCCCTGCAGGGCTGACTCCCAAACAAACTAAGGGTCTACAGGAACAAGAACCACACTTCCCCATCAGGGAAGTGGGGGAAGGGTGTGCAGCAGAGAACCCAAGGGATGCCTCCCAGGGCTCTGGAGCAGTGAACCATGATCTGGGCGACTTACTTGAGCTCTTTCATGGCGATGAGCAAGGGATCTGTCTCCCCCTCCAGCTCCACCATCACGGGGGCACACATCCTGTAGGTACAGGGACAGGTGTTGGGGGAGACTACAAACACAGGGAGAAGGGCCCAGCATGAAGTCGGGGGGTAGCTTCACAAACAGGATCAGATCAGCATCCAGTCCTCACCCAGAAAGGGCACCTTCCAGGTAGGCGGGCACAGCGGATGTGGAGCGGCAGTTCAGAGGCACTGACAGCGAGGGTACGCGAGCGGGAGCCTGTACACTAGACTTAAACTTTGCCTCCAAAGATACTGAATTTCTTCCCCAAATCTCACTATCCTCATTTGAAAATGAAGACAAAAAGCCCTGCCACGCCTACACAACAATGATGCCAAAACACTACTGGCTAACAAGCAAAGACTAAGTGCCACAGCTGCTCTCAGCCCTTCACAGAGTACTGTATCTGAGGTAAGTACTCTTGTTACTTCTGTCTTACTGATGAAGAAACTGAGGCACAGACGGGTCAGTAACTTGCCTAAGGTCACACAGCCAGTAAGTGGTAGAACCGAGATTTGAACCCCAAAGCCTCCTCCCTACTGTGCTACACCACCTCCCATTATTTTTAAAAGCTGGTGATTCACAAACTGAAGACCGGTACTGTGAACAGGACAAGTGTGAGCTTTCATCACTGGGCCGTGTGACATGCGTCATGTCAGCTCCCCTGCCAAGGGCCTCCCCCAGGGCCCACCACAGACTCCTGAGCCTGCAGCCACAGCAGAGTGTTCCAGCACAAACGACCTGCATGTGCAAAAGCTCACCCTTCTGACCACTCTAACTCGACCCCAGAGCCCTGCCTCAGGGCCCAGCTTGCCTCATTTTCCTTCTCTGTCTTGGCAATACCCCCTACAAGGGTCCTGCTCCTCCAGCCTCTACACAGGGCCTGTGGTGGGGCGCTCGCCTCCTTACCACCCTTCCATGACGCCCCACAGCCATCAGGCAGGCAGAACCTCACCTGGCCCCTGCTTACCTTTCTAGTACCTTCTCATGCTACCTGCCTATATTTACCCCGCATTCCAGCCATACCAAATTACTACAGTTCCCTAGACATACCCGGTTGTTTCCTTTTTTGCATCCTCGTACAAGCTCTTCCTCTCCCTACAGGCCTGCAAGGGGCTCAGATGTCTCCACTCTGGAAGGCACTTGCTGAAGCCTCAGTGCCCTGTGACTCATTTTACACACGCTTCTCTCGGCACCACTATCACTACACGGTTTGAAGTTTTCCAATGAGACCTGGTGGCCCAGGACCCCAAGCCCACTTGGCCCACGGCACAGGCTCCAGAAACAAACAGGCCAATTCTAGGCCCATCTCCTCTAGGAAGCCACACTTATCGATTCCAGCTCAAGTTTACACTAATGGATCCCAAACCTAATAATCATCAAAATTACTGGGAAAGTATGCTAAAAATACAGGCTCCCAGGTTCTTCCCCAGACCCTTCCCCCTCACTCTCTAGTGAAGCATCCTGAGAACCTGCATTAGCAAAGCTCCCCAGGTGCTTCTGATAACCAGCCCATCTGAGAGCCACCAGTTCACACTAAACTACCTAATTTCATTGCTAAATATTCTGATGTCCGTTACTCCCCAAAGCCTGAAAATTTCCCAAAGGGCAGAGACCAAGTTCTTTAACTTTCTCTATATCCTCTCTCTCAATAATTATTTGAACCTCCCCAAAATGTAAACCTTTAAAGAATGGGGCAAAATGCTTTCCCTGATCTGCATATGCCTTATTTCTTTCAAGATAAGAATAACTCAACAGCATTAATTCATCCAGCCCTACTATGTGCACAAGAAGTGTGAGAATGCGCCCGGAACGTCTCCACCTGTGGCAACCATTCAGCCGCCAGGTGGGGCTAATGAACCAGAGAGCGGCTTCATCCACAAATATCCAAGAAACATCTGTTCAGCATCTACTAAGTGCAGAATTGCAGGCCTCGTACTCTGGATAAGCTCCAGCCCTGGACGTCCAAGGGCTTACAGCAGCCGGGGAACCACCAGACAGCACCCCAGCCCTCAGTCGGAAAGAGCACTGTAGACTAGACTAAGCTAGACCGAGGCTTGCTCCCCGAGGAAAGCAGGACCTGGGCCTCGGTAGTGTTTGAAATGCCTGCTCCATACTGTCCACCAAATGCAAGCCCATCTTCTGAACTTGTCACTCAATGAACCAGTGACATCTTTTCCAGTCTTGTGCCCCAAGCTACTTGCCATTCCCCCACCACAATCCATACACGCCTGCCTCTACCTGAACCTTTCCTAGTGCTGTTTCTGGCGCCTGGGATACGTTCAAAACCACCTCGCTTTAATTCTAATCTCTTCATGAGGCTTCCCCAGTCACCCCTGCCATTACTCCCTTCTCTCTTTTGTTTCTCTTGTAAAGCAGCAATCCCATCCTCCTTGGGTTCTGGGTATTTAGAATGGGTCCATCTCTCCCACCAGACTGTAAACACCTAGAGACCTGGGGAATTGTGATCATCTCTGCATCCCCAACAGGTGCAAGCACAATATCTTATTCGATGCTGAAAGACTTTAACTTGCATACAGTCTATTTGTTTGAAAAATAATTTATGAATTATTCTTTCTGCCTGATCATATTTAGCAGACATAAGCACTGCCCAATCAGTGCTCTGCAATGATGGAAATGTCCTCTGTCTGCACTACCCATTACGGTAACCACAGGGAGCTACTGGGCACATGAAATGTGGCTAACGAGACCAAAACACTGAACTTCTATTTAGTTTTACTTAAATTTAAATGGCCAAATGTAGCCAGTGGCAACCATAACTGCGGTGCAGGCCTAGAGGATCCTGACCCCAGCGATACCAAAATCATCATACTGAGTGCAGCTCTCATTTCACCCAGACCAGCAAGGAGTACAACCAGGCTGGCAGGAGGCCTACTGCTGCCAAGTGGGTGAGGAACGACGTTGCCCGCCCATAAAGCCCTCTATCGAGGTGAACACGGTGGTCACCTTCACTCCACAAGACTGGAGGAGATGAAGCCCAATGCTGTTTAAAAACCTGGGCGGGGTGGGAACGGATGGATGCATAGATTGAGCATCACCGCTCCGCCAGCACGCATCGTCCCACAAATCTGGCCCCAGCTTTTCTTTCAAGCCTATAGTTTCGACTACTCCCCACTTGAAGCAACCCCTCCTCCAAGTACCCACCACTTCCCACAGCAGCTTGTAAGAGGTCTGGGGTAGGGCTCCTTTTCCCGGCCTCACGTTTCCCCGCGGAGGACGTTCCATGAGAGCCACAGTAACATGCCCGTCCCCTCTCTGTCTTCCCACTTACTCTCGCCACAACGGAGGAGGAACTCATCTGACAAGGGAGCCTGGCGGGGAAAGCACGCATCTGTGGTCCAGCCTATTCAAGAGTCCCTGCTTCCTCAAAGCCATCTGACCTGTCCTCCACGATGCCCACAAGCTCAGCAGGCAGGCTGACGCCTGCACACAGGGCCACTGGCAGCGGCAGTGCCCACGGCTGTTGGGGTGGACGCGGAAGCGTCGCACGTTGCGATCCCCACCTGCCTACTGCTAGCTCCTGAATCCTGTTAGTCTTCAACTAGCTCCAAGCTCGGGAGACAAAGGAAAGGCTGCTAATTTCCACCCCCCACCCCCCCCCCCCCATCACTGCTCTGTGCTTTCACGTTTCCAGCAGGACCTCTACATGGAGGGCTCCCCCACTCCTCTGGGCTGGCCCTTGTCTATTGACTCAAGAACCACCTTAAGCCCAGGGGGTGCTGCCGCAGCACCCCCAACTAACCAGCCCACAACGGTCGAGGGATGATCTTATTTTATTTATTTATTTATTTCTGCTTCCCTAACTGACAGGCACTCGTTACACTCTGTATTCTTATCGCTATTCTTCTACTGTACTGTTATCTGACTTCTCAGATGTTTATGTCCTGTTTCTCCACTGGATCACAAACTCTCTGAGGGCAGGGGGTCTAGCACAGTGCCTGGCACACAGGGACAGCACCACCCTTGTTTAGCGTGTGAGAAGAGGGAAGGTCTGTGGTCAGGTGCCAGGCTGAGCCACATCAACAGCGTGCAGGTTCCCTGTAGCCTGTCTGATGGAAAAGATGGTGAGGAGGCTCATACTCACGCGATCTGAAGGGCTCGGGTGCCCAGCACACGGGCTCGCTCATACTTGGTCATATATGGTGTGGTGATTCGCTTCTGGTTGGCCTGCGGTCGCTCTCCAGAAGGGAGGATCTCAACATTCTCCTGGCCCTCCTGGACACCAAGGAAGAAAAGAGGGAAAAATCTCAGCATGCATTATCGGGGGTGAGGGGCAGGATGACGACGACAGCGATTATAACCACCACTATGCTACTGCTTATTACGTGCCAGTGACCATGCAACTGCCTCATTAACACCTCATTTAATCCTCACAATAACCTTATGTGGTGGGGATTACAATGCCCATTTTAGAGCCTTGGAGGGTTAGCTAACTTGGCCAAAGTCTCAGACCTAGTAAAAAAGGACTCATGATCAGGGAGTCCAAAGCCAGCTGCCTCACCCAGAAGAGAAGTCCTTGAGCATCCATACAAAGAAGTCCTTGAGCACAGACAACAAATCACCCTAAGCAGAAAGAGGAACAAGCACCCCATCTTTACATATTCATATATTTAACAATCACTTATTAAGCATCTGTCATGTGCCAGACATCATAATAGGTGCTGAGACAGAAAGCTAAGAGTTTCTGCTCTCAAAGAATACATAGTCTGGGGAAAAAGACAAGAGTAAACAAAACAACAAGTGCTATAAAAGTATGCAAGTGTGATGTAAAAGAATGAAATTAGAACACTCCCTAACACCATACACAAAAATAAACTCAAAATGGATTCGAGACCCAAATGTAAGACCGGACACTATAAAACTCTTAGAGGAAAACATAGGAAGAACATTCTTTGACATAAATCACAGCAAGATCTTTTCTGATCCACCTCCTACAGTAATGGAAATAAAAATAGACAAATGGGACCTAGTGAAACTTAAAAGCTTTTGTACAGCAAAGGAAACCACAAACAAGACGAAAAGACAACCCTCAGAATGGGAGAAAATATTTGCAAATGAATCAACAGACAAAGGATTAATCTCCAAAATATATAAAGAGCTCATACAGCTCAATATTAAAGAAACAAACAACCCAATCCAAAAATGGGCAGAAGACCTAAATAGACATTTCTCCAAAGACGACATACAGATGGCCAAGAGGCACATGAAAAGCTGCTCAACATCACTAATTATTAGAGAAATGAAAATCAAAACTACAATGAGGTATCACCTCACACCAGTTAGAATGGGCATCATCAGAAGATCTACAAACAACATATGCTCGAGAGGGTGTGGAGAAAAGGGAACCCTCTTGCACTGTTGGTGGGAATGTAAATTGGTACAGCCACTATGGAGAA